CATCAAATCTTTCCTGCTATATTTTTTTAGGCTTTCTCTTTTCTATCAACCTAATAACTTGTTCTTCACTAGTTTTTTTTTAATTTTCCTTTTGCATTTTCTCTATAAAACAATATGATGTGCATGTATTTATTTTATTAGGTTTTGTACTTAAGTTTATATATAATTAGCACCCAAACACTCTTGACTCCATCTGTTCTTGTTACATCATAGACACTACAAAGTACCCCATGATCCACCTGTGTATATAATTTTAGCATCTATTATAGTTCTAAACATATCACCTTTGAACTTACATTATGAGTATAGTTTTTATGTATTTTGTTTAACTTTCATTTTCAACTACTTCCAGGGTTATTCCTTTCTGAGCTGTTCAGAGTTGTTCTTCAGCTCTTCTTGATTAAGATTATCTAAAGTCACTAGTGTGGCCTCATCTGACTATTAAGGATGGAAAGTTGATGTTTCTTCCAAGGATCTAGTGTATTTAATCTTTGGTGGTGGTGGTGATGATGATGATGTCTTAGTTGCTGCTGATGCTTTTTTTCCTTCTGCTTGGCTCTCTGACACTCAATTCTCTGTCACTGGCTCTCTTATAACTGGTACATCTATGTCACTCAGGCCTGAATTATTTTTGACATTTGGTTTCTTCTTAGTAGATACTACACACTCCTAAGATTCCTGGTCTCTTAATGACTTCTATAGATTGGTTATGCCAGTAAGGTAGCCATCAACAGGCTGCTGCAGATTGTGCGAGTGAATGGATAAGTAAGATCTAGTAGGGCCTTTTTATTGTTCCATTCGGGCTTTCAACATCTCCTTTCCAACCCACAAACAAATTGGCATCCCAGTTCAGCCTCTTGTCAACAATATATATTTACAGCACTTTGTTGTCTCTGTTCATGTGACCCACTCATTCACACCAACTCTTCTCCTCTGTTGTTGCCCAGAGGACTTGGGACTTCTTGCTCCTTTCATTATATCTAATTTCTTGGTCCTTCTTTCTTATAATTTCTTCGCAACTGATCTTTTCATTTCTTTTTTGCCCTTCCTTAGTTGTTTTCTCTTCTTCAGCATTCCACATTTCTTCTTTTCTTCACACCCACATATTTTCTTTAAGTGGACTCCTGTTTAAAAGGTCAACACAATGCATAAGGGATAGGTAGGGCCTTAAAACGAAATCAGAGAGGGAGGAGCATGTGTGTTCTTTTGGTTTTGTCTCCTTCCTTTCACAACTAGCAGTTGCACATGTTAAAAGTTCCCTCATTTTATTACTACATTGTTAGTAGATGCTTACCAAGGAACACAAATTTAATGTAGTTTTTTTCACTATTTACATATAATTTATTTTTTGGCTATCAAACATAATTACTTTGATCAGAGATACAGTAATTTTCAAATACATCCTGCTTTTATCATATAGTTATCTATAGTTCAGTTTCTTAGCCACCAACAGATTATTTGTTATAAATGTACATATTGCATTTGCATTTATGCCCCAAATGACAACTTTAATGCCACCATAATCATTTGCTGTTCATTTATTCTTAACTATATAAAGAAATGAAAGTAATTTTTTGCTCAGTTTGTTAATGTTGAGTTCACTAATGCTTATTGTTTATTCTTGTGAATTCTTTAGTCACATTACAATTACAATGATTACATACTGTTCCTATTGCATATACACATACAAAATATGAAGTACAAGATATTTTCTCTAAATAAACAAATTTATTGAAGCAAAATTCTGATCTGGCCATGCCCTGCCCAGCACAGAGTTTCATTACAGTTTCTAGAATTTGCTCATTGTTACCTCTTACATTTTCTTAATCAGAATTCTGATAATTATATAAAATGAGCTTCAAAAAAGAGTTGGATCAATGAATGAAACTCATGAAGTTCAACTGCTATTAGTCTGGATGGCAGCATGATTGTCTTTGGAGAGCATATTCTGAGAGACTAGTGGGCTTCCTTGTCCACTAGTGGGTTTCCTTGTCCACTGTAAAAACAGACTGATGAACTGATGAACCAGGAGTTTGATACAGCAGGACACTGCTTATTTTTTTTATGTTCCTGCTATTTTTGTCAAATGTCAATCCTAATGCTTCATTCTCTCACAGGCTACACCTCCCACCCTTTTGAATTTGGAATAACTATTAATATGCCAGATGGTGATAATTTTCTACAGACATACCAGTTCACAAGCAAATCAGTTCTATATGACAACATTTCTCCAGTTGTATCATTTACCTCCCAGCCTTACAATTTTTCAACATTCTTACAATATCTTCCTTTTGATCAGATTTTTTTTCCCTCCTGGACAATAACATTGGTCTAAACATTTTACATTTTAATCTAAAATATTATTTTCAACAAATTATTTCACCATATTTAGTTTCTAATTCCAGTAAATTTGCAGTCAGATTGTTGTTAGTCTTCATCCAGTTGCAAAACATTTTTTTAATCTTAAATGTTATTTTCTGTTTTTGACTATAGTGCTTTCAACTATTTTTTATCATCCTCATTTTTAGCAGAAATTATTCTTTTACTTGCTTTTTCTATTCTCTCATAGTCTTCTTCACTTCAACTTTCCATTTAACATCCTTCCCAATAACATAATGCTATTTGTTGGTGGAACTCAGAAACATAATATTTTCAAACTGTTCCAAGCAACTCCTACATTATTTCTTATCACTACTTTTCATTTGTTCAGTTGGGAGTCACATTATTTTTTTATAAAGGACTTACACTTTTTTCTTGCAGACATTGTACTTTCACTTATTTTTTACTATTTTTCCTTTACTTCCCCTCTCAACTACTGTTGTCAATACCAAAACATAATATATCCCATATTTAGAACTTCGTATCATTCTTACACCCTTCACTTATCCTGTATTTCATTGAAAACAATAACAAAATCATGTCTTAAGAGTCACATTCATTCTAATTCAGCTCAACCTATGAAATGATCAACTCTAGAAAGACTATAATATTAATAAATTGCCAAACATATAACAAACAGCTATGAAATACCCTGCTTATTTAAGCAGTTGCTTTGAATTTTTACCATGTTTCTTCTCTATATACTGCATTTTGTTTTCATAAAAATAGGGTTCCCCCCCCAAACTACAGTATGGATCGTAACATTGCAATGTATCTATTTTCCCATTTTCACTGCATTTTTTTCTCAAAAATTAAAAAAAGTTGTACTTTGATCATTGAGACTAGAATAAGATCTTGAAAACTAATTCTGAATTCTATCTTATTTATTAATTAAGAATGAACATATTCTTTTTCACATATGCTGCAGGTTAAGTATATTTTCAGTCTTCTTTTTTGTGTTCCCTTGCCATTTGACCATAAGAATAGATTTAGGGTATTCATTTTTATGAGATTCATGTTGTTTGCTCTTTTAATGGCATTCTCTGATTCAAATGTTTTAAATTTCTTATGGCAGCTATGTTAATTTTAGAGAAAATGGAGCATTTTTTTCACATCAACTGAAGAGTTAAAATTTTATGTGTTAGCTTTTGTTGAAGATTATTTCAAAAGGTAGCCAAAAATACTAGTAGTAAAGCAATATGAACACCTGTTTCTGATGGTGAGAATAAACCATCAAGTAAATCAAAACAATTACATACAACATAATTTTAAATTAGACTTTGTAAAAACAAATAATATTTGATTATTGGGGGAGGTGCTGCTAGTTGTAATATACAGGGCTTTTCTTGTCATAGTACGCCCAGAACGGAGTTCTGGCATCTTTTTTGGATGGAACCTTGTAGGGTAGGCAAGGCGGGTTGTATAACATGTGTGAGTTCCAGCACCTTTTTTTAAAGAAAAAAAGCACTGGTAATATATATTATTATTTATCCATCACTCTAATTCACATAATTATTAATAAATTTTAGCCCAACATATTTTACTGCCTAAAGAGAAATATGACAAGTTTCTACTTCTCCTTTAAACTAATGTATCCAAAGCTATCCAGCTTAGTTTTTATTCAAGTTAAATCAGGTTTATTTTGACTTCTGATATAAAATTGTCCAAACTATTCTTTTTGTAGGCAACAGTGGTAATAAAATCCATCAGCAATAAATAGAATGATTAACAATTCAGAATCTAATTTTCATCATACAGTTCAATGTACAGAAACATTTCTCCATCTCTAATTAGCATAAATAGTTAATAGTTTCCTTCATAACTTTATCTGTTCCTAATTCTACAGCACACTTATCTGAACCAATATTTAATTTGCTGGTATTATAATAGGGCTGTGCAATTTAGTTGACTATCTGTTCAACTTTTGAAAGCTACAAAGTGACCACAACTTAAGTCATATAGAGCTTAAATATATCCCTTGTCCTTCTGGTATGGGTATGGAAACACTGTGAATCCCTGAAGAGTTACAATTGTTCCACAGCAGATTGAGAATTATATGAAAAGGGCTAACATAAGATCTTTCTGTTTGTTGCATTTGTCTCTGTATTAATAGCATTCTCTCTTCCGAGTCCTTGGTAGTCCTTTGTATTCTCTGAGCTTGGTTGTTTTCTTGCAGATATTTCACTACCCAAACTAGGTAAACAACAGCCATGCACTGCACAATACATTGATGATATTAGTTTGGATAATGAATCATGTGCAAAAAACCAACCAAGCTCAGACAGCACCAAGGACTCCTCATTTCACTCCTGAGCTGAAACATTCTCCTTTGTTAATATTAATTTGGTATAAGAACAAATTTGCTACTGAGAAAGCAGCAAATATTTTGAAAAAGGAGCTTTCAGGTACTAACTGGGATGGGTAGGGATGGAACAGATATATTTCGATTTTTCAGGAAAAAATAGAAAGAAAAAAATGGCTAATGGTCCCATCTGGGCGTGGAGAATTATAGCATTAATACAAAGAACAAAAAAAAAAAAAGATAATGTTGATAAGCAGAGTCTGTCCTGATTAGTTAACAGTTGTTTATTATAAAGCAAATATACAATTCCAAACAATACCTTTCACCTCTTTGTCATTTTTGAACCATCTAATATCTGCAGCTGGCTTACTACCAGATGTTTTGCAAGTAAGTTCCATCCAATCTCCTTCCATAATTGGTGAAATAAATCCACTAATCTGAGGAGTCTCTGGAACACCTAACAAAAGATAAACAAATGAATTACAGTTTTGCTAATGGCTTGTTTAAGATTTTTTTTTCAAACAGTGGGAAAAGTACAATGGTAGTAATGATCAAGAAAATTGCTTTAGTAATAAAGTGTGTATTAACACAGTAGGGAATGAATAATAAATACATTCTTTTATACATCAATTATAGGTTTATCACATAACTTATCGTCCAAATCAAATACAGAGATGAACTTTGAAAATATATAGAAGTGAAAAGGAGACTTTCTTTTTAGTTTTGAACCAATTATTGAATTTCAGGATTTAAGCAGTTCATGCTGTGAAGACAACAAACATATTAATTAAAACACTTTTTCAGTGAAATAACTGTTTGAACACAAACTGTCAAGATAATGGGCATCACATTTTAAACAATGTAATATTTGATAAAAGAGCCATTGATTAATATAAAATTATATTTATTCCAATTAATCAGTTAATATTAAACAGAATAAACTTCACCATATCACTTAGTCTTTTCTTTAGACCACAGTGTGTTTTTTGATTAATCCAAATCTCCATAATTTATATAATTTATCCTGTGTAAATTATAGATTTCTGGAAATCAATTCACTCTATGAAATTGAACTCAGAGTAAAGTTGGAGGTCTGAACCTTTGTGTATTAAGTAGACAGTGAAACAATTGACAAGAAGTTCAGAAACCTTTACATTTAAAAATAGGGGGCTTCCTGTGGCGCTGCGCTGTGCCGATAGCAGCTACTTTATAGCTGTCCGTCTGAGTTAGTGTAAAAACTGCGGAGACAGCAGACATCAGCTGTCCCGCAGTTTGGAAACTTCTTTCCCGGGCAAAGGGAAAGAGGTGAGTTTTTTTTTCCCTTGGATAGTGGTAGAGCCTCCAACCTCAGAGATTTTTTTGGGGGGGGTTTGAAGGGTGAGCTCCCACAGAGTCCGAGGCATTCTCCACTTCTCAGACGTCTTTGTCCCTTTTGTTTTGGGACAAAGCAAGACGCCGCTTCCACATCCACAATTAAAGTGAACTGGTGAGTTGATTTTGAAGCGGACAGAGCTGATCAGGGGAATTTATATGTTAATTTTGAACTTTAACTCTGGAGAAGAACAATCTTTTCCTTTTCTTTATTTTAAGGGAAAGTAAAATGGCGGTGAGAGGTTTCTCCTTCTCATGTGCATGAAAGGAAAGTGAGGAAAGGACTTTCACTTTTTCATTATTATTTTTTTTTGTTATAAAGTTTTAGTAACTTTTGGGATTTTGGGTGTTTGCATGAGAAGGATATTATTCTTTTCTTCTCTTTATAAATAGAAGAGGGGTTTTCTTTTCCTTCTTCTTTTTGTTTTTTTTTTCTGGTCTTTTGGATTTTTTAAGAAGGAGAAAAACTTTTTAAAATGGCTTCGAAGCGTCAAGCGATCTCTGCTTGACGCTTCGAAGCCTAAAGTGGCTTCTTCTCCGGCAATACTCACAGCTCAACAACCTAAACCTAGATCAGCACCACCCTCTCCACCTGTACCACCACTTACGGTAAAAGATATTCAAGATGTTATGGGTAATGTGGTGTGTCAAATTAGAGAAGAAGTGAAGGAGCTTTTAGAAGAGAGAAATAAAATTATGAGGGAGGATATAGTACAAGCTCTGCAAGACTTGCGTCTGTTGTTGAAAAGCTGAGGATGTTGCAGATAAAGTGAATTTATTGGAAGATTGTGTGGAAAGTGTGGAAAAAACAGTAGAGAATTCACAGGATGAAATTGTTATGTCTCAGTATAGAGAAATGGAGTTCGCTTTAAGAATCAGAGGCTTGAGGGAAAATATGCAAGAAAATATGAGGGAGGTGGTGGCAAATGATATTGCTGGGATATTGGAGAGGGATCCAGAGGAGATATTGAGAGAAATAGAAAAAATATTCAGAGTCAACTCGTGGATTGCAAAGCAGAGAACTTTACCAAGAGATGTGGTGATTTACTTTGGAAAAAGCTCTTTACGTAATGAAATTATACAAGCATTTTACAATAAGAGATTTCAGATTGCTGCTCAGGATGTTATAATTTTAAAGGAGATTCCATCAAAAATTTTAAGAAGAAGAAAGAAATAAAAGAATTTACACAAGAATCTGTTTCTGAGCCTGTGGGAGGAGCAAGACCTAAGAGATCTTCGATGATTCGATCTTCGATGGCAGATCTTCAAGCAGTCTTCTCCAGGCTGGCAGCTGGAGGAGATGGCAAAGCTCCTGACCTGGAATGTTAACGGCCTCAATTCTCCACAGAAAAGGAAGAAAATATTTCATTATTTGAAGCAATATAATAATGATATTGTTTGTTTGCAGGAAACTCATATTATTTTAAAGGATCAAAAATATTAGATTAATGCTCGATTGGGTTCACATTTTGTATCTTCTGCTCCTGGAAAAAAAGGGGGTATTGTTATTTATGTTAAGAAAAGTTTGTCAGCTAAATTAATAGATTCTGATTCTCAAGGAAGATATGTTATGATTGAAGTGGGATTGTATGGTAAGAAATTGCTTATAGTGGGTTTATATGCTCCTAATCAACAACAAAAACAGTTTTATAAGTTTTTACATCAAAAATTGATTTCATTGGATTATAGATCTGTTATTTTGATGGGGGATTGGAATGGAGTGTTGGATACACATAAAGACAAGAAAGGACTTTCTACTTTCTTCAAGCAAGCTAAATTACCTAAGGCTTTTTTTTTATTTGAAAGGTGACTTGGAATTGAGAGACATTTGGCGGGAACGTAATACGGAAGAGAGAGATTTTACGTTTTTTTCTGATAGGCACCAATCGTTCTCAAGAATTGATTTTTTTTTGACTACTACGGACTTATATTCTAGTATTAAAAATGTAAAAATCTTCCCAAGGACATTGACTGATCATAGTCCTGTTTGGTTGGAGTTAATTGCTGAGAAGGAGGAGAGAAAATTGTGGAGGTTGAATGAAAATTTATTAGATATGAGGTGAATGTACAGAAACTTAGAGAATATTTAAAGGAATTTTTTACTTTAAATATGTCTAAGGGAACTTCAATGGCTATGGTACGGGATGCCAGTAAGGCTTATATGCGTGGGGTTTTGATTCAAATGAATAAGGTTTATAGGCAAAAACAAATGCAAAAACGTAAGGAATTGGAGGATGAGATTAAAATAAAAGAAAAAACATTAATTTTGAATCTGTTGGATAAGAATGTAAAGGCTTCTATAAATTTGCTTAAAACACAATTTAATATGTTAATGGCTGATCAGGTTGCAACTAATTTATGTTATATGAAACATAATACATTTTGTAATGCAAATAAGCCGGGTAGGTGGTTGGCTTATCAATTAAGGAAGAAACAGAGGTCGAGAATTATAGATAAAATAAATTATAATGGTAAAGTGGTTTTTCAGAAAGAATTGATTAAAAAATCTTTTTTAGATTTTTATACAAAATTATATATGGGTCAGAAGGTACAGAGTTCGGATATAGATAAATATTTACAAGATGCTCATTTTCTGAAATTAACAAATGATCAAAGAGATGAGATTAATGGATTGATTACTTCACAGGAAATTATTATGGCAATTAAACAACTAAAAGTTGGCAAAGCACCTGGTACTGATGGATTGACATCAATTTATTATAAAACTTTAAGTGAGGAGATGATAGAGCCCTTGAAAGAATTTTTTAATAGTATATTAATGGGTTTAGACACACCTCCATCTTGGAGAAGGGCTTTTATTTCCTTGATTCCAAAAGAGGATCAAGATCTTACTTTACCTAAAAGTTATAGACCTATATCTCTTTTGAATATAGACTACAAAATTTTTTCAAAAAATTTAGCAAATAGACTTATGATTGTATTGAATCAAGTGATACATACTGATCAAACAGGGTTTATAACTGGGAGATATATGAAGAATAATGTTTGACAAATTATTAATTTAATAGAATATTTGGACAAAAATAATCAGATTCCTGCAGGTTTGATTTTTTTAGATGCTGAGAAAGCCTTTGGTCAGTTAAATTGGCAATTTATGTTAAGATTGGTTGAAGAGATGAATTTTGGGGATAAAATTTTGCAAGCTCTTAGAGGTATTTATCAAAAACAATCGGTGCAACTTATAATTAATGGAGGTTTATCTGAGGGTTTTCAAATTGGAAAGGGTACAAGACAGGGATGTCCATTGTCCCCTTTGTTGTTTGTTTTAACATTAGAAATTTTGTTGATTAAAATTCATGTATCATCTAAAATGAAGGGAATAATGATTAACAACAAAGATTACAAATTAAGAGCTTTTGCTGATGATTTGGTTGTTACTTTGTCTCAACCAACCTATTCGGTATTGGAGTTGTTATAGATTATAAATCAGTATGGGCAAGTTTCTGGTTTTAAAGTTAATAATAATAAGACTAAAATATTACCTAAAAATATGTCTAATTCGGATAAGGAGATTTTAGTGAATTTGACAGGTTTTGAAATTGTAAAAAAGGTAAAATATTTGGGAGTTTATATAACTGTTTCTAATGTAAAATTGTATAAAAATAATTATGAAATGTTATGGCTTAAAATGCAGAAGGATTTGAATGATTGGAAAAAATTGCAATTATCTTTGTTAGGGAGAATTGCTGCAGTTAAAATGAATGTTCTGCCAAAATTTCTTTTCTTGTTTCAAATGATACCCTTTTAAAGAAAGAGATAAATTTAGAAGAATGGCAGAAGGGTATTAATAGATTCATTTGGGCTGGGAAAAAACCAAGAGTTAAGCTTAAAATTATACAAGATGTTCGAGAGAGAGGTGGACTCAAGCTGCCGAATTTTAACATTGATTAGTGATTGGGTTAACTTAACAAATTCAAATATATTTTCTTTGGAGGGATGGCTTGTGTATTTAATTTATAATAAAAAGGTGGATAGGGTTTTTAAGTCCCATGTTTTAAGAATTGCTTTATTGTGTGTCTGGAAGAAATATTATAGATTAAATTTCAGAATACCGTTGTGGGGTAT